TATGGCATAGATATTATATGCAATATGTCTATATAAGTTGTAAGTCACACAAGAAAAAGCATTTTCTTATCTATGAATAGTTCTATGTATATAAAGTAAGCGTAAATGAGGGGAGCAAGATAGCCTTTTGCACTTAGCTCAATATTTACCATTTTTAATCATCTTTGTCTTTTCTGATAATCCCATTTTCCACCTGGTATAACATTTGCCTCTAGCCTGAGGAATTTTCTTTACCAATTGTTATTGTGCAGATCTGCTGATGACAAATTCTCTTAATTTTCTTTTACCTAAAATATCTCGTTTTGCCTTCTTTTGAAGGACATCTGTGCTGAATACAGAAGTCTTAGTTGACTTTTTTTTCTTCCAGCACTTTAAAGATGTTATTCTACTTTCTTTTGTTTCTATGATTTGTAATAAGAAGTCATTGGTCAGGACAAGAGGATTAGAGAAACAAAAGCTGGCAAAATAACATGGTAGACCTAAAACTTATCATACTAATAATGACAAAAACCTACATGAATCGACACTCCAGTGAACAACAGAGAAGCAGAGTTTGTGTGACTTAATTTAAAAAAAAAAAAGCAGAACTCAACCACGTGCTGTTTCCAGACGTGCTCTTTCATTCTCCCTTTCTTTATTTTTTAATTTAACTTTTATTTTTAGTTAAGGAGTACATGTGCAGGTTTGTTATATAGGTAAACTTGTGTCATGGGGTTTTGTTATACAGATTATTTCTATACCTATTAGTACCTATCCAAGTATTAAGCCTGATTACTCGTTAGCTCTTTTTCCTGATCCTCTCCCTTCTCCCTTCCTCTACCCTCAAGTAGACCCCAGTGTGTGTTGTTCCCCTCTACAAGTCCAACTTTTCTCATCATTTAGCTCCCACTTATAAGTGAAAACATGTGGTATTTGGTTTTCTGTTCCTGCGTCAGTTTGCTAAGGACAATGGCCTCCAACTTTATCCAGATTCCTGCAAAGGACATGATCTCATTGTTTTTTATGTCTGCATAATATTCTATGGTCTAGATGTGCCACATTTTCTTTATCCAGTCTACCACTGATGGACATTTAAGTTGATTCCAAGTCTTGGCTATTGTAAATAGTGCTGCAATGAACATATGCATACATATAAGACAGGCACTTTCTTTTTTTATTGAATTTATTTTATTTCACTTTAAGTTCCAGGATACATGTGCAGAATGTCCAGACTTGTTACATACATATAGCCTGCCATAGTGGTTTGCTGAACCTATTGACCCATCCTGTAAGTTCCCTCCCCTCACCCCCTACTCCCCAACAGGCCCTGGTGTGTGTGGTTTCCCTCCCTGTGTCCATTTGTTCTCATTGTTCAACTCCCACTTAGGAGTGAGAACATGTGATGTTTAGTTCTCTGTTCCCATGTTAGTTGGGCTGAGGTTGATGGCTTCAAGCTTCGTCCATGTCCCTGAAAAGGACATGAACTCAATTTTTATGGCTGCATAGTATTCCATAGCGTATGTGTACCACATTTTTTTATCCAGTTCATCATTAATAGGCATTTGGGTTGGTTCCATGTCTTTACTATTGTAAATAGCAGTGCAATAAACATACATGTGCATGTGTCTTTATAGTAGAATGGTTTATATTCCTTTGGGGATATACCCATAATGAAATTGCAGGGTCAAATAGTATTTCTGGTTCTAGATCTTTGAGGAATGGCCACACTGTCCTCCATAATGGTTAAACTTGTTTATATTCCCACCAGCAGTGTAAGTGTTTCTATTTCTCCACAGCCTTGCCAGCATCTATTGTTTCTTGACTTTTTAATAATTGCCATTCTGACTGGTGAGAGATGGTATCTCACTGTGGTTGGTTTTGCATTTCTTTAATGGTCAGTGATATTGAGCTTTTTGTTATATCTGTCTTGGCCACGTAAATGTCTTCTTCTGAGAAGTGTCTGCTCATATCCTTTGCCCACTTTTGAATGGGGCTTTTTTCTCTTGTAAATTTGTTTAAGTTCCTTGTAAACAAACATATGAGCTCTCATCATTCTTGTTTAAACACCTAACAGTCATCCTAACCAGTGCAACGTGGCAAGAAAATGAAATAAAAGAAGAACAATAGAAGAACCAAGCATGGTAGCTCATGCCTGTAATAGACACATTTTGGAGGCTGAGGTGGGAGAATCACTTGAGTTCAGGAGCCTGAGACCAGCCTGATAGTGATACCTCATCTACCAAGTAAAAATAATTTTAAAAGGAAAAAGATCAATGGATAGGAAAGAAAGAAAGAAATGTCTTTCTTTGTCACCAGCTTCATTTCATATGTAGAAAACACTAGGGAATTCTGAAAAAGTCTCTGGAATTAATCATTGAATTTGCAAAATAGTTCCTAAAATATATGTAATAAGCAACTTAGATGAACATAAAAAGATAGCAAACAAGGCTTGTCATCAAAGAAGTGAAAGTTAAAACCACAATGAGAAGCCACTGCACATCACCTAGAACAGGTAAAATTAAAAAGACATATGATAAATCTAAATGCTGGCAAAAATACGGAAAAAAATGCAATATCTGATGTTGCTGGTGGGAATGCAAAAAATATTGCAGCCAATTTATAAAGCAGTGTGGCAATTTCTTATACAGCTACCCATCCATTACCACATGACCCAGCAATCCCACAAATATGTATTTATCCAAAAGAAATAAAAATATAAGGCCACACTTGTAAGCAGTTACTTACAGTGGCTATAAGTATAACTCTAACTTGAGTAATCTACATGTCTATCAACTGGATAATAGAAAATCCAGTGAATAAACTGGGATTCCAGCAATACTCGGCAGCTACTCAGCAACAAAAATGAATGAATGGCATCATCTCAAATATTGTTATGCTGAGTGAGAGACCAAACAAAGGACTACATCACATATAATAGCATGTCCATGAAATTCTAGAAATTACACTACTGCAGTGACACAAAGCAGAGCAGTGGCTGAGTGAAGGGAAGGGGTGAGGGTGGGAGGCAAGGATTAAATAGAAAGGGACAGAAATAAAGTTTTTAGGAAAAAGAAACTGTTCTCTACAGTATCACAATTCTGGAGTGACTGGGTGGTGGGAACTGAGGGAAGAGTAGGCTGTGAGGGGTGAGGGGCAGAGAGAAGAGCTGGGGAAGCAGGAGGTGAGGAAAAGGAGCAGGGGAAAGGGCTCTAAAGCAGTGGAGGAGCCCAGCAGGGAGTTCTTTGTGTTTGATGTTTATCTGCTGGGCAGTGTGGTAGTTACCCAGTATTCACCAAAAAGTGCAGCTAAACCTGGTAAATTTTTGTTATATGTAAATGTCCTAAAAAGCAAACAAAACAAAACAAACAAAATACCGGGTGGGGAAGAAGGCAAAAATAAAGACATTTTTAGATCATCAAAACCATAAAATTCATTTTCTAGGGGTCCTGTACTACATGTAATTTTAAAGGAAGTTCTTCAGGATGACGGGAAATGATTCTAGATGGTGACGCAGACACACAGAAAGGAACAATTAACAACAGAAATGATGCACACACACATATCACATGCACACTCATTTTCTTCATTTCCTGAAGACATATGACTGCTTATCTAAAACAAAACATATTACACTGTATTGTTGAGTTTATAATGTATATTTATGTAATATATACAAAAACAGCATAATGATAGGCTAAATGAAACTATACCATTTGAAGTGTCCTTTATTTTGCTGGATGTAGTTTAACATTACCTCAACTTCACTGTGAAAAGTCAAGGAATCGAGTTTCCATTCTCAGAACAATTAGAAATTAGTGTAAAGAAATATAGCTGAAAGCCACTAGGAGAATTAAAACTATAAACAAAAAATGTTTACTTGACACTACAGGAAGAACAGAAACTGAGAGATGAGACAAATTGAAAACCTATAGCAAAATGGTAGACAAGAATCCAACCATTGTAAGGGAAGAAATGACACGACCTGAGTCACATTAGCAGGAAGGCTGAGCACTGTGGGGAGAACAGACAAGGGCAGGAAGTGAGGGACTGTGTTAGTGCCACAGTTCAGGAGTGACAGGATGATGGGGACCAAGGGGAGAGGAGGATGTGAGGGATGACAGGGGCAGAGAGAAGGGCTGGAGAAGCAGGAGGTGAGGAAAAGGAGCAGGGGGAAGAATTTCTAAAGCAGTGGAAGAGCCCATGAGGGCATTCTTTGCATTCAATATTTGATACATTTCGTGGGACTGCCTAAAAACTAATGGCCTCCTTACGATTTTTAAAAAAAGGGGGTTACAAAAATACTAAGTGTGTAAATGAAGTATGCACACTGCTTAGATGTGCATAGTTCACAACAACAGGCAGCGCTGGAGCATCAGTGAAGAGCACTGGGACTGCATGGAGCACTCGCAACTTTGAGGTCATGGCTCCAGGCTCCAGGTTGCAATATACAGTAACGCACGCTGCTTCTTTGTATTCAGGAGATGTTCTGGACTCACATGGGGAATCTCGGGCTAGGGAATGAAGATAATTTTAAATGCAACAACCCAGAGTCACAGATCCATAGTCTGAGAAAGTAAAACGTAGCTTTGAGAGTTTAACTGTAATGCTGTTTTGACCCAGGTCTTTTACAGATTGGAATTCTAACCATTCAGGGATTGCCAGTATTGTGCTACCTACTGTATTAATAAACAAAAAGGAAACTGGTCTCTATGAGAATCTCTATCTGGTGCCTACAGACAAAACTTGACCAGGTTTAGAGAGAAAACTATTGTCTCTACACCTCCATTCCCAGGGCGATCTCACTCTCTGGCATCAAGTTCCCCGTGGTGAGTTTCCTTGTACAAGAGTCCAAGGGGAGAGGTAAGGAGTGGGAGGCAGGGAGTCCAGTTCAGGGACGGGGATTCCAGAAGTGAAGGGGAAGGGGCTAGGCGCAGCCTGGGGGTCTCTCCCTGGTTTCCACAGACAGATCCTTGACCAGGACTCACGAAGCAGTGTGACAAAGAGGCTTGTGAGAGATCAGGACAAAGGCCCAAGTCCTGCGCGTGGGTCTCAGGGTGTCAGGCTCCAAGAGCCGCCTCTGCATTGGGGAGCAGCGTTGCGGATTCCCCACTTCCCTGTGTTTCACTTCTCCCAACCTGTGTCGGGTCCTCCTTCCAGGATACTCACCAGGCGACCCCAGTTCCCACTCTCATTGGGTGCCGGGTTTCTAGAGAAGCCAATCAGCGTCGCCGCGGTCCCGGTTCTAAAGTCCTCAGTCACCCACCCGGACTCAGATTCTCTGCAGACACCGAGGCTGGGGTCATGGCACCTCGAACCCTCCTCCTGCTGCTCTCGGGGACCCTGGCCCTGACCGAGACCAGGATGGGTGGGTGCGGGGTCGGGAGAGAAACGGCCTCTGCGGCGAGGAGCAAGGGGCCCGCCCGGCGGGGGCGCAGGACCCAGAGAGCCGGCCGGGAAGAGGGTCGGACAGGTCTCAGCCCCTCCTCGCCCCCAGGCTCCCACTCCATGAGGTATTTCCACACCGCCGTGTCCCGGCCCGGCCGCGGGGAGCCCCGCTTCATCTCCGTGGGCTACGTGGACGACACGCAGTTCGTGCGGTTCGACAGCGACGCCGAGAGTCCGAGGATGGAGCCGCGGGCGCCTTGGATGGAGAAGGTGGGGCCGGAGTATTGGGAGGAGGAGACACGAAGAGCCAAGGACGCCGCACAGACTTACCGAGTGAGCCTGGAGAACGTGCGCGGCTACTACAACCAGAGCGAGGCCGGTGAGTGACCCCGGCCCGGGGCGCAGGTCACGACCCATCCCCATGCCCCACGGACGGCCCTGGTCTCCCCGAGTTTCTGGGTCCGAGATACACCCCGGGGCTGCGGGACCCGCCCAGACCCTCGACCGGGGAGAGCCCCGGGCGCCTTTACCCGGTTTCATTTTCAGTTTAGGCCAAAATCCCCGCGAGTTGGTCCCGGCGGGGCTGGGCTCGGTGGGCGGGGCTGACCGCGGGGGCGGGGCCAGGGTCTCACACCATCCAGAGGATGTCTGGCTGCGACGTGGGGCCGGACGGGCGCTTCCTCCGCGGATATTACCGGTTAGCCTACGATGGCAAGGATTACATCTGGCTGAACGAGGACCTGCGCTCCTGGACCGCCGCGGACACAGCGGCTCAGAACACCCAGCGCAAGTGGGAGGCAGCCAGTGTGGCTGAGCAAAAGAGAACCTACCTGGAGGGCACCTGTGTGGAGTGGCTCCTCAGACACCTGGAGAACGGGAGGGAGACGCTGCAGCGCGCGGGTACCGGGGCGGTGGGGAGCCTTCTCCATCTCCTGTAGAACTCACAGACGGGCCTCCCACGAGGAAGGGAACAAAATGGGATCAGCGCTAGAATATCGCCCTTCCTTGAATGGAGAATGGCATGAGATTTCCTGAGATTCCTCTGAGGGCCCCCTCTGCTCTCTAGGACAATTAAGGGAGAACGTTTCTGAGGGAATGGAGGGGAGGACAGTCCCTGGAATACCGATCAGGGTGCACTTTGACCCCTGCAGCAGCTTTGGGCACCGTGACTTTTTCTCTCAGGTCTTGTTCTCTGCCTCACACTCAATGTGTTGGAAAGTCTGATTCCAGCTTTTTTGAGTCCCTCAGCCTCCACTCAGATCAGGACCAGAAGTCGCTGTTGCTCCCTCAGAGACTAGAAACTTCCATGGAATAGGAAACTATCCCAGGTGCCTGTGTCCAGGCTGGTGTCTGGGTTCTGACACTCCAGGTGTCCTGTCCATTCTCAGAATGGTCACATGGGTGCTGTTGGGGTGTCCCATGAGAAAGGCAAAGTACCTGAATTTTCTAACTCTTCCCGTCAGATCCCCCAAAGACACAAGTAACCCACCACCCCGTCTCTGACCATGAGGTCACCCTGAGGTGCTGGGCCCTGGGCTTCTACCCTGCGGAGATCACACTGACCTGGCAGCGGGATGGGGAGGACCAGACCCAGGACACTGAGCTTGTGGAGACCAGGCCAGCAGGGGATGGAACCTTCCAGAAGTGGGCAGCTATGGTGGTGCCTTCTGAAGAAGAGCAGAGATACACGTGCCACGTGCAGCACGAAGGGTTGCCAGAGCCACTCACCCTAAGATGGGGTAAGAAGGGGGATGAGGGGTCATGTTTCTTCTCAGATAAATCAGGAGCCCTTCTGGAACCTTCAGCAGGGTCAGGGCTGAGGCCTGGGGTCAGGGCACCTCACCTTCCCCTCCTTTCCCAGAGCCATCTTCCCAGCCCACCATCCCCATCATGGGCATCGTTGCTGGCCTGGCTGTCTTGGGAGCTGTGGTCACTGGAGCTGTGGTCACTGCTGTGATGTGGAGGAGGAAGAGCTCAGGTAGGGAAAGGATGAGGAGTGGCGTATGGGTTTTCTTGTCCCTTTTGGGGTTTCAAACCCCAACTAGAAGTGTTCCCCTGCCTCCTTACTGGGAAGGACCATCCACATATGGGCCAACCCAGCCTGGGGCCCTGTGTGCCAGCACTTATTTTTTTGTGAAGTACATGTGACAATGAAGGACAGATATCACCTTGATGACTGTGGTGTTGGGGTCTTGATTCCACCATTCACAAGTCAGGGAAAGGTCCCTGCTAAGGACAGACCTTAGGAGGGCGGTTGGTCCAGGACCCACACCTGCTTTCCTTGTCTTTTCTGATCCTGCCCTGGGTCTGTAGTCATAGTTCTGGAAACTTCTCATGGGTCCAAGACTAGTAGTTTCCGCTAAGATCTCATGGCCTCCTCCCAGTCCTTTCACAGGACATTTTCTTCCCACAGGTGGAAAAAGGGGGAGCTACTCTCAGGCTGTGTGTAGGTGGTGGGGGCGGGAGTGTGGAGGAGCTCACCCACCCCATAATTCCTCCTGTCCCACACCTGCTGCGGGCTCTGACCACATCTTGTTTTTTTTCTACCCCAGTCAGCGACAGTGCCCAGGGCTCTGATGTGTCTCTCAGGGTTTGTAAAGGTGAGATCCTGGGGGTCTGAAGTGAGCAGGGTTAGGGGCAGAGGGGACAGGAGTGGGTAATGGGGATTCTTTGATTGGGACATTTCGAGTGTGTGGTGGGCTGTTCAGAGCATCATCACTTACCATGACTGACTGAATTTGTTCATGACTATTGTTTTCTGTAGCCTGAGACAGCTGCTTGTGTGGGACTGAGATGCAGGATTTCTTCACGCCTCCCCTTTGTGACTTCAAGATCCTCTGGCATCTCTTTCTGCAAAAATATCTGAATGTGTCTGCGTCCCTGTTTGCATAATGTTAGGAGGTGGAGAGACAGCCCACCCCGTGTCCACTGTGACCCCTGTCCCCATGCTGACCTGTGTTCCCTCCCCAGTCATCTTTCCTGTTCCAGAGAGGTGGGGCTGGGCATCTCCATCTCTGTCTCAACTTCATGGTGCACTGAACTACAACCTCTTACTTCCTACTGAAAATAAGAATCTGAATATAAATTTGTTCCCTTAAATATTTGCAATGAGAGGTTGATGTGTTAATTAAATAAGTCAATTCCTAAAATTTGAGAGAGGAAATAAAGACCTGAGAACCTTCAAGAATCCACATGTTCGCTGAGCTGAGTCTTGCAGGTGGGATGGAGAAGGCTGTGAGGAGCCGAGTGTGGGCAGGGCCTGTGCCCAGTTGCAGTTGAGTCCATCATGAGCTTTATGTAGTCAGTCCTCAGCTGTGCCAGCTTCACTGCTCCATTTTCCTTGTCCCTTCAGTGGAAACTTATCCAGCAAAAGCTGTGACCACTGAGAGTTACACATCACCCAGGGCGGCCCCTGCACATGGGAGTCTCTGTGTTTCTGAGACAAATTTTCAGACCCATTTCAGCTCCTGGCCTCCTTCTAGGGCTCCTCTTCTGCTCTGCTCTCCTGCCCTCTCTCCCTGCCCTGGTTCCAGTGATCTTGGTGCTGGCTCCAATCCCAACTCATGAATCTAAAGCAGAGGCTAATTTAGATTCACATTTGTTTGTTAATTTGGGTCCATAGTCAAGAATTGTTCTTTCCTGAAGAGAGAAACCTGGCTGTGCTCTGCAGTGTGCATTGGGATTGGTGTGGAAGGAGGGTGGAGGAGGGAGGACACAAGCAGCACTGCTGAGAAAAGCACAGGCAGCCTGGATGTCAGTGTGAGGGGACCTTGTGCTGTAGCTGCCACAAAACAGCACTTGGCCTTAGGCTATGTTAACAAAGATCCTGTCTAGAATAGGAGGTGCTCTACAGTGATCTTTCATTCCACTGACATTTGAATCACTCTGCATTTGGGGAATATCACTGAAATAAAAACAGAAAAATCTCTGGCCTTTTGGATCATATGTTCCAGTGGGAAGAGGCAGATGATAGATACACTATAACCAGAGTAAGGAAGGAAAGTGCTAGAAGGTGGGAAGTGCAGTGAGGCTGGTAGTCCAGGGTGTGAAGAGTGGGGACACGGAAGGTGGCTGTTGTGCTGGGTGGTCAGTGTGCACCACGTTGCAAAGGTGACCTTTGAGGAAAGAGTTGAGGGACATGTGAGTGTCCTTGAAGATGCCTGGGGAAGTTCTTTCCAGGCAGGGGAACTCCAGGGCAAATGCACTAGGGCAGGAAGATGTCTGTGTTCCCAGGAGAGCAAGGAGGCCAGGAATGCTAGACAGAGAGAAACTAGATGAGGTCAGAGGTATGACCACAGCAGGTGGGCTTGAGGGCAGTGGGGTTAGATCTGACCTTTGCTCTAAGTGGGATGGGATGTTAGAGGACAGCTTTAAGCAGAAGAGGGCCATGATATGATTTCTCTCTTAAAAGGGTTTCTGTGAATGCAATGCTGAGCATGGAATTGAGAGGTGAGGGACGAGGCAAGCAGAAGCGAAAACGGTGGGAAGTGAGTTCAGTATTCCAGGCTGGAGATGTCGGTTACCTTGACTGGGGTGTGAGCAGGGGAAATAGTGGGACGTGAGGGGATTCTAGATGCATTTTTAGATGGACTCACAGCATTTGCCAATGGATTGTATCTGTGGTGTGAGAAAGAAGAATCAAGGATTGTAAAATGAGTGAGTAGAAGGAAGGGTGGAGCTGCTATCAGTAGAGATGGGGGGACTCTGGCAGGAGCTCACTGAGGAGGGGGCATCCCAGGCACTCAGTGGAGGAGACATCTACTAGGAATGCAGGTGAGGGAGCTGCAGTTGGACTGAACTCCAGAGTTTAGGGGAAAGGACTGGGCTGGAGAAATGGACTTAAGAGTTCACACCATATAAATGATACTAAAAACCTCAAGCATGGATGAGGGCACCAAGGAGGTGATTGGCAATGGAAAAGAATCAGTGAAAGGACTGAACCCTGGACATCGAGTTCTAAGGGATCTGATCAGACCACAACCAGAGCAGACTGCACAGTTTGACCCCAAGCCTAGAGGACACTTAGACAAGAACTTCCCATGTGCACAGGAATCACCTGGATGTGGTGCTGAGATCCAGGTAGTTGAGTCAAGCAAGAGACTCTGGATTAATGACAAGGCTGGAGGTCCTGCTGCTGGTCTCCAGATCACACTTGGAGCAGCAAGAACTATAGGATCCCACATGTCCGTGCATCAGCCTCACCTGTCGGGCTTGTTATATAAATGATTCCTCGGTCTTGTGCATAATACTGTGAGACAGTGGTTCTGGGGAGTGGCCTGAGTATTTTCTAATCCCCTACCAGCAATCCCGTTGCTCAGACAGATTGGGAACCACTGACATCAGTGATCAGACAGTGTCCAGGGTGGGTGGATCAGGTGGTTTTCCAAACCTTGGTTAAAAGCGGTTTTTTCCCTCAGAAATAAAAGGCAGGATGTACATCATCAATTATGAGATGTGATATTCCCTGTTGATCTCTCCACCATGGGGTAGAGGCCACGTAGACAATTCAGGATGTGGCTCTTGCACAAAGAACACCTCTGAATGCTGCTCTCTGACACTGCTCCACAGACTGATTTCTCACTCACTTCTTGGAGCAAACTATGGAAAACAAATTTCTTTAATTTACACATAAAGTAGTATAGCTGGTATTGGGGGTTAATTTTATTGTGGGGAAGGCCACAGAACCAGGCTGAAAACTACACATCCAGGAACAGAATCAACAGCCCACCCCGGATCAGGTCCGTCCTGGGAACAACTGCCTTTGCTGTTGAGCCCAGACGCCACTGTTCACACCTCTGACACCCTGGTGCTGGACACTGGGCCCTGAGGCTAGGACAGATGTCACTGCTGCACCTGGAAACTGAACATCACCACTGCCACTCAGCCACCTTTACTAAAATGCATTCTGCACAGTCCCAGCCTCTCTGTGTCACCTCAGTCTTGCTCAGAGTCTGGCAGTGATATAGGAGTTAGGAAGACATTATTTAGGCAGAGAGCAAGGGTACAGAAGCCCTCAGTAAGGTTTTCCTTTAATGAAAAGTGGCTCCCAAATCATTTTGTTTTCTAACAAACAGCAGCCTGTAAAATCAAGCTTCAGACATAGACAAGCAAACTGGGAGTCTCACAGTTGAATGTGGCAACTATGCCAATAGGGAAAAGGACACCTGGGACTAGGCATGGTCACCATGGTGGATCCATCTTCCCTTCTCTTTACCAGCCACGTGTACAGTAAAGAGCAGACAACATGGGACCCCCCAAATGGAAAGTCCGTTTGCATAATAGGATTAGGGTGGGATGAACAGCCTTCCCCACAAACTGTGTAAATGTCACAACTGGTCCAACCAACCTGTGAGCCCTACATAAATCAGACACCATCTCCTCAAGCCTGCCTATACAATCCGATGCACTTCCATTCCAGGCTGGAATTCCCTTTCAGGAGCCCCTCTGTCTCGCAAGAGAGAGAGCTGTTTCACTTTGTCTCTCTTTTGCCTATTAAACCTCTGCTCCTAAACTCACTCTTCATGTGTCAGTGTCCTTAATCCTCTTGGTGCAGAACAATGAACCCTGAGCATTTACTGGAGAGAAAGATGCTGCTTCAGCAGGTGATCTTCTGACTGGTGCAGCCTAAGACTCATGTCCATGATCAACTGCAGGGATGACTGGAGTCTTTTGCTCTTCTAGGGAGGGAGGTGGTTTCTGTCTCCTCTCAAAACTTTACATGTTGTAGGGCAGCCATGATGGCTCACACCTGTATTACCAGTTCTTTGGGAGGCCGAGGTGGGTGGATCACCTGAGGTCAGGAGTTTGAGACCAGTCTAGCCAACATAGTGAAACCCAGTCTATACTAATAATACAAAATTAGCCAGGCATGGTGGTGCATACCTGTAATCCCAGCTATTCTGGAGGCTGAGGAAGGAGATTACTTCAACCTGGAAGGTAGAGATTGCAGTGAGCTGAGATTGTACCATTGCACTCCAGCCTGGGCAATAAGAGCGAAACTTCACCACATACCTGCACACACACACACACACACACACACACACACACACACACACACACACACTCTTTACATGTTGTAAACCAAAAATAAACTTCAAAGCCACCCCTCCCAGCCATCTTAATGGACTCCCTCCTCAGCCAGGGCACTCAAAAGTTAACCTGAAAGACTGGCTCAGGCCATCATGGGAAGCAGGTGTTGAACATGTCTCACTATGCCCTCTTCCCTTTTAGAATTTGGAAAAGCTGGCCAGCATTTACTATCAACACAGACCTTAAGTCTGATCAGAAACATTTCCAGTCTATTCTCTCTGAAGCCTGCCACCTGGAGGCCTCATCTGCATGATAAAATTTTGGTATCCACAACCTCTTATCATAACCCAGACATTCCTTTGTCTTGACAATAACTCAACCAATTACCAATCAGAACATTTTTAAATCTACCTATAAGCCAGAAGCACTACCCTCACCCCCCCTTGCTTCAAATTGTTCTGCCTTCCTGGACTGAACCAGTGTATATCTTAAATGTATTTTATTGATTTCTCATATCTTCCTAAAATGTGTAAAACCAACCTGCACCCCAAATACCTTGAACACATGTTCTCAGGGTCTCCTAAGGACTGTGTCATGGGCTGTGGTCACTCAAATATGGCTCAGAATAAATCTCTTCAAATATGTTACAGAGTTTGACTCCTTTTATTGACAGTGTGGAATTCTGATTTAGGAAGAGGGTTCAAGTGCTGGGTGTGAGGGGTGGTAAAAGAATGACAAATTTTAATTCTTAGAGCAGTGATTCAAGATGAGAACTTTATCTGGTATCTGGTAGGCACTCAGAGTGTCTCAATGAACCAGTGACTAATAAATAACATCCTTCCACCCATTCCCTTGAAAATAAGTTATTACATCAAGTGTTTATCTATCCCAGTTCATACTCTAGATTACTGGAGTGGCATTGTGTGATGGTGAAATGATTATTCACACATCTTCCCTCAGCATTGTCTTTTACTAGGTTTTAAAAACCCAGGTTTGTAATATCTCAGAGGATCTGGGTGCACATTGATGTTTTATATTAATATCAATATTTTCTTGTGTGTGGAAATATTTCTAGGGAAAGAATCTCTACCATTTTTTAGTTTTTATGTGACCCCCTCAGAGGCCTAAAAGAAAATTCTAACTTCTAGGTTAGAGGTAGG